CCCTTGGTCCCCTCGCCGCCGCCGCCGCCGCCGCTACCTGGTGCCGGCTGCGGCGCGGGCGTTGCCGCCAGGCAGCTGCACAGCAGCTTCACGGCGTCCGCGTCCAGCGCCGCCTTGATGAGCTCTGCATCATCCGCCATCAGGTCCGCCAGCACGCCCGCCACACAACCAACGCCGCTGCTCCCGCTGCTGCCGCTGTCCCCAAGCCACGCTGCCGCATCGTGCTGCTGCTTGAGCTGCTGCTGGGCCGCTGCCGCCGCCGGAGCGGCGCCGCCGCTGCCCCGACCGGCGCCGTTGTCGCCCGCCGCGCCGCCGTCGAGCCACGACGCGGCCTGCTGCAGCAGCTTCACCAGCCCCGGCAGTACCACGCGCGATGCCAGGCGCAGCTGCTCGACCTGCAGCTCCCGCGCCCGCCGCGCGTCCCCCGGCTCCGCCGCCGCCTCCTGCTGCGCGGCGGCGGCCTTGAGCAGGCCCGCGACGACCACCGCCACCCCGTAGCGCGTCGAGGGGCCCGGGCTCTCGCGCGCCAGCGCCAGCAGCTGGCCCAGCAACTCCGCCTGCTGCTGCGGCTCCTTGCGCAGCGGCTGCGCCTGCTGCTTCGGCAGGGCCTCGTCCGACTGGCTCTCCGAGATCCCTGGGGACAGCGCCTCCAACAGGAGCAGCAGCTGCGGCGGCGGCGGCGGCGGCGGCGCCGCCGCCGCCGCGCCGGCGCTGCTGCGCGCGCGAGCGCCGCGCCGTGCGGCAGCCGGCGGCAGGCCACCCGCGCTGCCGCTGCCGGCGACCAGGGCGGCGAGCGCCTCGAGCGCGGACTGGCGAGTGCTGAGGCGCGGCGACGCCAACATCTCAAGGAGGGCCGGCACGACGCCAGCGTCAGCAACAGCGGCGCACTGCGACGGCAGCACGTGCGGGGACGACGATGAAAGGATCGGCAGTCGACGGCAAACCGGCGCATGTCGCATGTCCTTGTCAAGGCAGCACCGCCGAGCGCTGGGCGGCGCCCGGCGTGCCGAGCGCGGCAGCTGCAAACGCGAGCTGGCGCTGCTTGCCCACCTCATCAGGCGTCGCGCAGCACCGCGCCAGGATGCTGGCCGCGACCTCCGACAGGTGCGGCTTGGCGCCGCCCAGCAGCGCCCCCAGCGCGCGCAGCGCTGGCGGCTGCAGCAGCGGGTCGTGTGGCGCCAGCGGCGACTGCGGGCAGCGCAGGAGAGGCAAGGTGCACCGATTGCGGAGCTGCCAGCACCAGGCTGGTGCAAAGGATGCTGGTGCGCGGCACGCACCCATGGTGCGAGAGCAAACAGCATCCAGCATCAGCGCAGAATGCAGCCGCCTGCAGCCTGCAGGTGTTCACTTGCAGAGCGCCCCTACTTGCACTGGTGGAGCCGCCATTGTGTGTGTGCACGTCCAAACCCGCCAACCTCACCCACCCGATAAATGAGCTTCAGCGACCGCGCCGCCGCCTCCACGACCGCCTCGTCGGCGCTGCCCAGCGCGCGCAGCAGCGTCTGCACGGCGCCCTGCGCGACCACCGCGCGGACGCCGTCGTCGACGCCATACGCAAAGCTGCCGAGCGTCGCTGCAGATTGGATAAGCTCCTCCCGGTCGCCGTCGCTCTTGTTGGCTAGGGCGACTACCTCTGGCAGCAGGCTGAGCAGCTGGATCTTTTTGGATTTGCTGCCTGAGAGGGTGCAGGGGGCACGGGAGGCGGGGGGGGGCGAGCATGACGAGAGGGTGCATTCGCATGTGCGCGCACGCGCACTGCGGCGGTTGCGCTGACATGGGCCCATGGGGGTGGTCGTGCGTGCCAACGGCGAGCCGCATGGGTGACAGGATGCGGTGTGAGTGCACAGGGCTGGCCCAGGGTGCCTCACATCGCAGGACAGGGGGGCGCCATGCAAGCGTGCACACGCGTGCTGCATTAGTGTGGGTCTAGCCAATGCTTCAAAAGGCGCTCCGACAGGCCAGCGCGCGATACAATGTATTTGATGTGGTTCTTCCATACCGATAATCTCGTTCTTGAGGGCTTTGAGGGCGCGCAGCCGAAGCGCGCGATCATGGCTTCTCAGGCTTTCAGCCTGAACGTGACTGACCATGTTAGTCATTCCTACACAGAAGAACTTTCGTAAACCATGCTTGTGGCTGCAAACTCTCGATACGGGGTGATCTAAAGCTTCAGTTGCGAGTCTGCCCGCACGCCTTCGGTGTGAGTACTTATTGTGGGAGTGTGGTCATAGCGGAAGGTTGGTGCATATGCTTACTTGCACACATATAAGCGTTGCAGAGCGCACACCAGCCAGAGCACGATCTCCAGTGATTCGCCGAGTCTTTGTGGCAGGAGAGTCCTTGGATATGATAGATTAATAGTAAGGTGAACCATAGCGGAGGAGTAGGCCCCAGCTCGCAGCGCGTTGGCCGAGCCAAAGCCCCTGCGGAAATATGGCTCGTTGCTTGCTTGCCACGCGCCACCCCGGGCCCCGCGGCCGGCGGGCTGCCTTGGTATCGGTTGAATGATTTGTTATCCAGCATTGTGCAAGCTGCCAGGCCGGGCAGCGCATCATTCAGGGCAAAAGCAGCGGCGGCGCTGCGGGGAGCATGCGTGCTCTGCTGTTGGCACAGTGCCAGAGGCGATGCCGCACGTTCAGCGCGGTGCCCCCTGCAGCAGCGGCGCTCCCCCTTACCTTCCTGACATGCTGCTATCGCCCTAATCACTGCCCACCTGGCCCCGCACCAATACTGACAGGCGAGGACCGCTCCGCCGTTCGGCTTCTTGGGGGGGCGGCTGACCGGTTGAAATGGGGCGCCCAACTCGGCAGACGCAGCAGACGCCGCCCGCCAAGGCAAAGGGTGCGCCCACCGACGGCGGCGCCAGCACCAGCTCCGGCGGCGCCCGCGGTGGCCGGAGGGCCAGCGGCGGCGGCGCTGCGGCCGCCGCCGGCCAGCGGCGGACGCGCGCATCGCAGGGCGGCGACGCAGGGGAGCAGACCGCCGCGCTCGAGGCGACCCCTGCTTTGGAGCGCGACCAATCTGAGGCGCCGCCCGGCGGGGAGGAGGCCGGGGCTGATGCTGATGCTGAGGCGGACGAGGAGGAGGCTGTCAGCAGCGGCGCTGATGACGATGATGATGAAGCCGAAGACGAGGAGGCAGAGGAGGAGGACGGCGAGGAAGAGGAGGAGGAGGACGAGGAGGAAGCCGAGGAGGAGGGGGAGGGCGGCGGCGACGAGGGCGGCGAGGAGGAGTCGGGCGCAACGCCGTCGGCCCGCCGCACGCGCGGCGTGGCCGGGCCCGCGGCCACGCCGCCGCCGGGCGCGCAGCGCGGCGG